TGATGTCATGTTGTCTAAGGAGAATGGATTAAAAATAAACACATGGTCACAAAAATTGCCGTGTACTTTGAAAAATTAGCTACTGTCCCTTAAAAGAAACATAAACAAATCAAAACTGTATCAACTTAAAACACTGCTTTACTGGACACCAATTGCTTTGCAAGCATATTTAATGTGCTACTTCTGCAAATTTGAAGTAATTGTGCAGTTTATGTTTTTACAAGCACTGAAATCCAAGTTAGTTAGTTTGCCAAAATCACTGACTTCAAATATACAAGGATGGAGGGTAGCAGGGGTTTAGTCTGTGATGGCCACCCTCAGGTTCCGCCCCTGCATGCAGCTGTAACAGCAGTAGGACCAATAAATACACAGATAAGTACGGTTATTTTTCGTCCTCTTAAGGGGTTATTTTAAAATTCGAAATGAAACTCTTCTAGTTGTATTCTCGTTTTTAAATATACCATTAATAAACTTTCCATCGAGTTGGCTGTATCTGCGGACGCACTTCTCTCACTGCTGCCTCTTTAACCGGTAATAGCATAATGCTAACAGTAGCTAGCTAACTTTACAGTTTGCTCCTGCTTCGCTCCAACTTCTTTTCTCACCTGAGAGCCTGTAAAATGTATCCAAGTCGTCGTGAAACGCTGTGGGTTGCTTCGCTGACGGACTCCTTGCTGTTGCCCACGCTGACCCGCACCGATGCTCGGTCCGCCTGGCAGCGAACCTCCGCTGTCCCTGTCACCTGGACCTCCCGTAGACACTTACCGGGACTCTGCCGACTAACCGCTCTTACTTCCAGCCCTTGCTCTTTTTCGTTACCGGAGAGCTCCCGCCCGGCCGGTACTATCGCCGCGAAGATGCGACTCTGACTTTCCATGATGGAGGGTTAAGCACAAACGACAGCCGTTGTGCTTCCCGCTGCTATAGCAATATCCGCAATGGTCTTTGGGATTTGTAGGCTACCTGTTCTAGTGCGGCGAGAGCTTAATTCAGCCCATTTGTACATGGAGAGAAGGTAGTTGTCAACGGATTAAAAAGAATTTAAGATGATGTGAAATGCACATGTCAGGGAAATAAAAGGCTTCCCTACTAGGGGCAGATGCAGTTATTAAGCCACCTAATTTAGTTATTAGGTGGCTTAAACTACAGAGGTTAAAGGTAAGTATAGTTACCTGCATTGCATTCGATCATTTGCACTTTTATAATAATAATAATAATAATAATAATAATAATAATAATAATAATATTGATAATGATAATAATCAATATTATTATTGTTGTTGTTGTTGTTGTTGTTGTTGTTGTTGTTGTTGTTAGCCCTTCAAAGAGCTGTTTGAGGCTGAAGAGTTGGATTTTGTTTTAAACTTAGTATTAGCTTCAGGTGTTTGGCATCTAG